CAAACTAATTTTAGTTCTGTAAATGAAATAGTATAATGTATACATGTGCTATGTATACAAGTATACTTATAACTAATGGTATTTTGTTTAGAATTGAAGGAAGGCCACATGAGGGTGCTCACAACACCAGGAGACACTTATTGTGGATATGGTCCATCAGAATAATGCAATTTGACTGCGTGAAATGCAGCAAGGGAATGTAGAAAACAACATACATGTTGAATCTAGCAAAAAGGAGAAGAAAAGGTTGCAATGTCGTAGGTCAACGTGCCATTATTGAACTGGCTGGCCAGCGTGGTGGAACTGTAACTATCTGTGCTGCCATCAGCAGCTATGGGGTTCTCAACAGTCATGTTACTGTTGGGCTGTACAACAATGAACTTATAGTAACATTTCTAGATGGTCTACGGGATGCTTTGCTTGATTAGAGAGATCGCGAGCAGGCAGAGCATCCCATATCATTTGGGCCAATGTGAGCTTTCACCGAAGTCCAAGAATATGCAATTGGTTTCACAATGAGCAGCATTTTATCAATGTGTTTCTTCCACCGTACTCTCCCTTTTTGAACCCTATTGAGGAGTTTTTCTCAACATGGAGAGTATACGACCGAAACCCTTACACACTGGAAAAATCTACTTCAAGCATTGAATGGAGCTTGTGGTGAGATAGGAGTGGAATCTTGCCAGAGCTGGATTCGGCATGCTAAACTATTCTTTCCTCGCTGCCTTGCAAGAGAGACCATAGCATGTAATGTAGATGAAGTCCTGTGGCCTGACCCAGCACAGAGGCGTGATGCTGAGACAGGATAAATTATCTGAATATGCTGTAAAAATATATAATTTTATGTACATATAACTTTTTTTTTACTGCAGTTCTTTTTTTGTTAAAATGTGAGTACAAGAATAAATGAATGAATATATAAATATTATTTTCCAGCTATCTCACAGTGTTTTGTATTTATTTTTGTAGTGTGTAATCGTTGCTAAGTTGTGTTTGCACATTGGCTGGTTTTGTGTGGCTTTTGACAGTAGTGATTGATTTTGAGTAAAGTTTAAATAGTTTTGGGTCAAACGTTTGGTTTTGAAAGACATGTTAAAGGTTATGTGAGTGTAACTTGAATTTTACACTTTGTGTTTAGTGTTTTGACACAAAGAAATGAGATTTTAGGAAATGTGTTTTAGCAATTCAGAAAAAACTGTAATGACAAGTACATTCCTGTCAGGTGAGTTCCTGTGTTCAGACTCTCGCTGGATCTGAGCCATCACCTGTTACCCCTGTGTGTTGCCTTCCTTGATGACTCTCACGTGTGCTGCGTGGAGGCCTCTGTATCCCATTTCTCACAATAAAG